GGAGATTACTAAGTTTTTGATTGAGATCATGAACCGATTGATGTTAGACCACCACAATTGAAAACCTGGAAGCCGTGACTAGTGGAGCTAATCCTTGTCGGGTAGAGACAGGTATCTACCTCAGTACAACGGAAGTTGGTCGCGCAATTTAGTGGATTGGTTGATTTTAGAAACTATCAGTGGTCCAGTTGATTAAGCGTTCGCGCGCGAGACCGAAGGCCCTGGGTTCGAATCCCGCGGGCGGATCGTGGATGCGCACTGCTGAAGAGTCCCGCAATAGGACGAAACGGCCGTCCAGTGCTTCCAGGTTTTCAATTGTGGTGGTCTAACATCAATCGGTTGATGATCTCAATCAAAAACTTAGAGAACTGTTTACTTCCGGGATACATTCACGGCTACATTCTCAATACTATGAAAGTTACGAGTTGGAGGATGTTTGCAGCTGAAGTAATTATATTACTATCTTTATTATAATTTAGCGGATTTCGTCATGTCTGAAGATAATTACAGTGTCATTTGAGCGCGTGCGATAGCGACGCTACACACAAGGTACATGGTAAAACGTTAGTTGATGATTCAGTGAACTCACAAAATTCGTTCGCGGTTATATAGGAAGCAATACAAATCAATAGGCAGTTTAGTTTACTGACGACGTCCAGTTGGTCAATCAGAACTGAGACAAGACGAAATGTATTATGAACGAATTTTCAAGGTGCCAGATGTTGTGTGTCAAACGATGCACTTCAAGTGTTGACAACACGATCGTTCTAATATGAGGTCTATGCTATTGCTGATGATTGCATCTCCCTTTCCTTATTAAATGCAAGTGCATTGTGTGCTCTTGCTGGATTCCTGACTCAACTTTCCCTTTGTCCTTGTCTTTTGCAGCCATCTGCAAACTGCATTGGTACACAAAGTGCCTTCTGTGCATATGTGACAAGCTACAGAGATTATTAACCTGCTTGTTATTACTGACGAAACGAAAATTATCAGTAGTTGATTCCTAACGTGCTCGGAACAGATGAAAATGTTTCCTATGAACGGAAATGTGAAGTCCAAAAATTAATCAATTTAATTACAGAAACTACCTGCCCATAAGTTAGATTATTTTTTAAAAATTACTTGATGTGATTCAGTGGGTCTTTGAGAGTGTTAAGTGAAGCTAGGTAATATTTTCTTTTTAGAATTTGTGCTTTGGATCTTAAGCTCAGGTTTACTAAGCTTCAGGACATAAGAGATGCGAAGCATCAAGATAAAGCTGGTGTCAGTTTGCGCCGAAAACTCTGATTGTTTTTTGTAAACTTGACACAGCTCAACCCTTACTAACTAACCCTTATGTATTTTGGATAAAAATGACGTTAGTTTATAAAAATTATTCCGAGGTGATTATCATAACTCGCACAAGCCCGTCTCGCGATACCTTAACTTAGCCTTTCTACTTTACTACGGGAAATGACTCGATATGCGAGGGTTGATACTCCAAATAGTAATTTTATTATTGTTTCATTGCTTCGTATCAATAAATGTTGTGTAAATAAATATGGTTTTCTCATTAGCTGATAAGCCACCCGTCTGCCGAAACTGTCTCTGACTTGTTTCAAACGTTGGAGTATTTGCTTCTGAAAACCAGAATAGAGTATATGAATCACGACTATTGATGAATAAAATTGGCACCAAATGGCTAGGAAAGTACCATATTTTCATGTCAACGCAAAAAGCCTACAGTGGAAGAACTTAATGAGGTCAGCATCAATGTCGAAGACTCACAGGATTATTTACTTCGAGGATTTATTAACTGCTGCGACTGCAAATGAAGCACACCACACTAAAATTCACCTTACGAAGTTTCGCGCAATTATACACTGTTCCTCTTTCATTTATCTTCCGTATACTTAAAGTAACTAGGATTTAAAAATGGTGCTACGGATCACTAATTATCTCGGTTGAACTAAGGTTACAACAGAATGCAGTTAGGTCAGATTTGTGGAAGGCAGGATGGGATCATATTGTACCATTTTAACAGGTAGAGACAATAGGCAGAAAATATTTTTATGTCCATATCCTCATAAGCGATTACGAGTAACTTAAGAAATAGAATATAACAAACGCTCTTGTATATATATTTCAGTAATTGAATTCACTAACATATACAGCAGTAGTAAATAATGAAGGCATAATCGGACCGAAATGACAGCAGAATTAGACCTCTTTATGATTGGATTCATATTGACACCAGCACCAGTAGTTGCATTAAAATAAAAAAAGACGCTGACAACAAAATATCCAACAATTGTATCGTAATGAATTAAATTCAGAACTGTTGGACTAGTTCGATCTGTATCGTATTAAAATGAATACAAACCATCCGGTGTTAATTAGTTAGAGTGTCTCAAGTACTAATAGATCAAAACAGTAATAGGATACAATCAACAAACAACCCAACAAAGGAATATTAGGATTCATATGAAAGGCATTCGAATTAATCACAAGTTTGTAGTGAACGGAGAACTCATGTGGGAAGACCAAAAAGCGCCTTCGTAAAATATGGAAACTATGCATCAAATAGATTATTTGCACATCTTCCTTTAGCTGTCCTTTACATATTTCATGGTTCTTCCAATGATTACTATTACAAATACCAAGTTTTTACATTACTAACATTTCCAGTTATATGTTCTTATAAGAGATGTTCTACTTCTGGTGTTATGCACCATTTATATGTGTCAACATAGGTAGCATACGACACAAGTTGACCGATAGGATTGAACTAATGTATTTGACAGTCACATGATCAGTTGGTTGTCGTATTGCAAAATGAATATACGATTATGTTCACTTAACACGTTTATGTGAAATACCACCATAGGTTTAGAAGTCTGAAACCCATATTACGAAGTTCTCTTGCAGAAACAACATGAACATAGCTTCTTACTCAGATGGTTCGACTTCATTATGGATTAACCTTAATAGAATTTGGAAAACCCAGACAGACATTAATAACAAAAATATATAACCTACTACCTACATCACTATAATGTTAATTAGAAACTTGATGGATTTACTTGGATGAGTGTGAAACTACAGTGGCAATAAGATATTTGCTTACGACCAATTAAATGAACTTTCTATAAAGTTATCTATGTTCTTACATTGTTGTTTGTTTGTAAATATTATAGTCATCTGAAAAAAATACTTCCATTTTCTGAAACATATTTCCTTTGACTCCAAATTATAAAGTTTCTTGAAATATAACAAGAGTTACTTTCATTTAGACCTATCCGATAATGTAATTAGAAGACGAAGATTATCAGAACTATGTGATATATTAGCGCAATACATTTAGAACAATCTGATCACTAATGTACTTGTTAAGAGCATTCATATATAAAAATAAAAGGTCAACTAGACTGGAAATGGGGTAAGAAGAGATAAGGATAATGATAAGAGCAATAATAATAATGTGAACACAAAGCGAAACCTAATCACTCTGGCTAATAAGTCAATATTACCAGGGTAGGTTTAAGGTAAGAACAAACTGTTTTTGAATACAAAGAGGGTTTGAATTTAGTATTGCTAAGGCTTCAATAAACCTTAGTATACGCCCTTTTACACTTTTATACACCACAAAAGCTGAGTTTAGATCAATCATATGGCCTGTTCCAACTCTGTGTTTAGCGATAGAGGATGATGGATGTTTATCATCTACTCTTTATTGGGTCACTTGATTGTATTTGTTTCTGCAGTCATTTGGGTGCATGTCCACTCACGATTGCTCCTCCCTATGTATGTGTGACCACACACATTTAAATTGGTAAACACAGTGGGATGTGACGCAATCGCTTCCATGTACTTTAGGTTTTGAATGAAACATGCACCTTGTTCTTTCTTTGATGATGACCTTTGCTGCGCAATAGGTTTTATTGATGACTGATTTAAGTCGTTGTTTCAACAAAAGGCTATTTGAATCACCTCTGAATGGTAAGGTGATGTAGACAGGCTTTTTCTCTACCGAGGCTACAGTAGGTCTCGCTGTACCATGAACTTTCCATCTATTTATGAATTTCAGAGGATAGCCATTTTCTATTAACGTTTTATTTAACAACTTGACATCATCATCAATGGCGTCGTTTGTACAAATACTACCGAGTCTGTTGAAAAGACACATTATCAAACCACGTTTGTATTGCACAATGCAATAACTATAATAACTAAGATATTGACCTGTCCACGTTGGTTTTCTAAAAATAGATCGCTTGACTCAGCCATCTTCTCGACTACTCAGAAGTATATCTAGGAAGGGAAGCTGATCGTTATTTTCCTCTTCACATGAGAGACTAATATGGTTTTGGAGAGTGTTAAGTCTATTCAGTAAACCGTACATATCCTCTTTTCTCTCACAAACAACTAAGATATCGTCCACATATTTATTACAAAGTGACATGTTTCCGATTAGGTCATCAGTCTGATTTTCAACATGTGCCATGAATACATCTGCTAATAATGGTCCTAGCGGACTACCCATACCAACTCCATCAATCTGACGAAAGTATTCACCTTCAAAAGTGAACTGAACTTTGTTAGTACATAGCAGTAAATCTTTAAGAACTTTTTAAAGGGACACATAATTTAAGATTGTTTACAGATATGTAATCGCATAATATATCAATGGTTTTTTTTTTCAAAGGTACATTTGTAAACAAGGAATTCACATCAAATAAACACAATGTGTTTTCCTTGATATTAATATCACCTCAAATGATGGACCCTATTCGAAAACATCTGTGTAAGTATTCTCTAAAGGATTGTTTTGAACTGGTCTACGAAACTGTTAACCACATTCATTCAAAGTCCTTTTACGATAAAATTATAAAACACAGTTACCTAGACATCAATGTACTGGACAATTTGAAAGGAGAAAAAAAAAACAAAAATGCATTTATAAAAAGTACTTCAAAACTATAGTGAAATAATCATTATTCCATTGTATTGCACAATCTATGTTATTGGATAACACGACGTTGTGGATCAAATATATTTTTTTTGAATTCAAGTATAACTTCAATATTCGGTTGTGATATTTGTTTTCTGCCAGCTTTTGAAGAATACTGTGCCAATATCTCATCAGGTAGATCATCTAAATGAAGAATATGAGAAAAGTAGATGTGATTGTGTAGGATGTGGTTTTATTGTTTTCCTAATATAAATGATAACTAAATACAACAAAGTTAATAATAGGCCATATAAAGTTACTGTACTCACTTTATTTAGCTACACATCTGAATACATAATAAAAATAAGAGTTCTACTTAGTGTATACTAAGAAGCCTCAGATACCTGAACCAGATTGAAGTGGGATTCAAACACGTAATTCAGTAATTGAGAGTTGGGTGCTTTGATTAGTAAGCAACCATCCGCCTAATAAAATGACCGTTTTCTCATCCAATTCCTGAACTACAATAACTAAGACACATAGAAAAAGGAATTCACTCGTTCATTACACTTAAAAGCTACTGAGGGAAACAACTGTAGTCTTTTGACATTTATGAAAGTAAGGTACATCTCTCTTTGTTGATAACTTCTTAAAAAACTTTTACCAGTTAGTAACAACAGATCATAAATTAAAATGTTTTCTCAGGAAAAATAGATACTTCGACAACATGTCCCATGATAAGATAAAATTATGTGAAAGGATTATAGGTTTAAATGAAATTGAATCAGAAAGTGAAAAATGAGTTACAACCACACATAAACATGTGAACATTTACACCATAATCTAGTGGTACCATGTTATTGATAGAGGGTGACGCGAACAGTAGAAGCAATAAGCAAAATGTTAATCAATAAACTTAACCCTATTAAATAGTAATGCTTCAAACAATCAAACCAAATAGTTGCCACACAGTTATGCAGACATGTTGAAAATATGCGTCATTTAATGTTTTTACCATCATTTCATAAACTTACTATCAGTTCAGACAATTAGACATCCTAACTGAAGAAAGTGTACAAAACGGATAGAAACCCAAGGTCAACCGTGCTTCTTTAGTGTTTACTTTATCGAATGATCAACCAAAATTAATACACTTCATTTAAAGTAGAGTGTGTCACAGTAGTCAAGGCGTTTAGGTTTTAGACACTAAGTAGCAGGTTAGAAACGAGCTTCACCTAATTTGGTTTACACAACCATGTAGTATCCAATAATCCTGATAGTTGAATTGCATCTTAAAGTAAAGTATACGATTCTGTACTTGATAAATGAGTAGATTAGTTCAAACTGATCAAGATATAGAATTAAATAAACATACTTTCTAGAGCTAAACGACATTTTCCGCTTTGACCAAAACTAGATTCAATATAACCATATATACGATGAATATGATCAGAAGAATCTTCATGCGATTTAATAATTAAATAAGCACGCAAACCAACAAATATTTCCCAATTCGTTTCACGTTTAAATAAGCCATGAACAATACACATTCGTGGATTAACAATTCGTTCAAGTTGACCACGACGAGTTTTAGATTTACATACCTACAAAAAGAGTTAGAATTATAACACCAAAAAAGATCAAGCATGATAAAGACTATTTGGATTATGGATTTTCCCAAAATAATCCCTGAGTCTTCGGTATAGAAGTATGGATCATTTGAATTAGATAAGTGAAAATCTCATCAGTAACCTTCATTGGGTATGATTAAACGATGATTACATAGAGAGTAATTCTTGTTTTCGAATCGGTGGTACTCAAATGGCGTGGATTCACAAAACCCAAATTATTCTTACAAGAGAAACAAATATATGTCAAAAAGAGCACTTGTAGAAATTAAGTATACCATTAAATAACTACGCTATAATAGTAAAAACTGAAATACTGGAACATTCGATACTTAAAACAATTAAAATTACAACTAATGAGAAAATCCCAACCATTGAATCTAGAGGTTAAGCGTTCACGTGCGAGACTGATAGGTCCTGGGTTCGAATCTCGCGAGGTGGGATTGTCAATGAGCAGTGTTGAGGAGTCCCACACTAGTACAAAACGACCGTCCAGTACACTTCCAGGTTTTCCATGATGATCTAGATTCAATTGACTCATGAACTCAACTATTAAAATTATACTATAATATCCATAAAAACCCTTTTCTGATAATTATGAGAAAAATACTTGAATGGATGTGATACCATATATGAATAACTGCAAAACATCAAAAACTGTTCGACTTGACTGGAAAAATACTTAGACTTCCAAAATGGTAACTATCACAATATTCAAACTATAAAATAGCCTTTAGTAAACAGAAATTTCTAAAATACAACTTCTATTCATATATGAGAAAGGTCACAACACAATAATCGATATGATAGTGATCTAAGTAAATAAAAGTATATGCCATCTCTCCTATTCATGTTAAGTGTGCCCATAAGTGTAGGGCTTCATCAGTCAAAATGCATTTGTATAAAGTAAAACAGAACCTCATGAAGAATGCATGTTTGATTGAAATCAATTTTAGGACAAAATTCGATGAGACAAAAATTTATGAACAAACTAGTCGGTAATAAGTCATGAATTTCGGCGCGAAATTCATTCATCCATTTAGCTAAATAGCGTCTTGACATTTTAGATGATGTCAGTTTTCGATGAAAACCCTAAATCTAATTCCTAACCTTAACCATTAACTGTAAATTATAATTCCTCACACTGATTTATAACACTCGTCTAGTCCTAGTTAGTTGGAGGACATGTCTAAGATCACTTTGATGTCGCTCAAAGGTCGTTTATAAATTACAGTTTCATCGTATAGAGGTTAATTCCTCATCATTTTCAACTCCAATATATGATATCCCGTTAACTATGTATTTTAACAGGCCAATTGTCCTAGTAGTATTACTGATATCGACAGATATAAGTAGTATGTATCATCAATCGAAAGTGAAATGTCTGGGTTTATGAAGATTAAAGAAGAGAACGAGAACTAAGAATGATTGTTGTGGGAACAAAAGAACAATGAAGTTTGAGACAATTGACTGATGTTTGTAAAAGGAACAGTCAAGTTTCAGGCAATTGATAGACATTTTGCAAATGAAGTATTTTATTGTATGATTCTCAGATATTCTATAATTTTGTATTCAAATACATTCAATTATCCCCACTTTTTTTCTCATTCACTGCATTATGAGTTTACTTGGAAACATTCAAAAGTCAAAGCACCAGATGTTGTGTGTCGTTAATAATTAATAAATCCTACAAACATGAGACAGGTAATGATACTAGGAAATGAAGGAATCAAAAGTCGAAATACCTTTAATATATTTCATAAGTGTTGAGCAATTGTGGATAAATTACTGATTATCTGAGTTGACAGTCAGTGAGAGGATAGATAAAAGCTGAAGCAAAATCATGCTTTCAATCAGACTCACATATACTTTTACATAGTAGATTAATTGTCTAAATTACAGTAGGTAGGTAATAAAAGTCCGTCTAGCCCTATAAACCTGAAATACTATTGTTGATCAAGTTGTAATGTGGCTACCAACTTGTAATGACTCGATATTGTATTCAGTAGATTCTATTTTTCTTTAGAGAGTTACAGCCAATTTCGAAGATTCCAATCAAAATACGTCTGTAATACTCAAGAACCTAACTAGTAGAATTAGAGCGTTATTATGTGCTAGACATTGGTTGCTGTTGTAAATATCTTGGTCTTAAAAGTCATTTGTAACCAGAATAGTTCAATGGTAATATCATATATTGTGAAGTTGCATGTTGATGTTGACTCGAATCCCATTAGGAAAGATCAGTTTCGTTAAAATTTTAAGTGAACCTTGCTAATAAGTGTCACCAACCAACGCGAAACCCAAGTCTAACAGCTTTCAGTTGACTACTTTCAATCACCTAACACATATATTACCTATACAGAGTCACCTATCTAAATATATGTGAAAATTGGTAGTACAGTAGTGAACAGAACACAGGTGGGGACAATCGAATTATTTAACACAAAATTACAGGAATTGTTAATAAAATCTAACAATCATAAAGTAAATACTTAATTTGCAAAATGTCCATCAGTTGTCTCATAATAACTCTGACTTCATTGTTCTTACATTTTCATACAAATTGCATCCTGTTTTCATTCTTTACTGTTCGATCCTCTTGTCTCTCTGCTACCAGACCTTCTGTTCACGACTAACATCATATACTACTTATGTCAATATAAGTAGCACACATCACAATACTATTTAATCTAAATCATCAATTAAAAATCTGGCTGATAAAGTATGTTAATGGAAGAAACAAAGACAGAAGAAAAAAAACGTACAAGTAATTTACTTAAATAATTTGATTTATAATTTGGATCATTTAATTGTACTAAAACACGTCCATGTAAAGCGATACGACAACTAGTTATTGAATATGTATCTAATTTAGCGCCAATAGCTAATCCATTCATTGGACAAATAACTGGATGTTCAAATTCCAATAATACATAAAGATTATCATCTAATTTAAAAGTAATAAAAGGAGAAAAGAGAAAATATGAGATTAACACAAGAGTTTTACTTTTAATATAAGCTAAAATTCAATTGAGAAGGAATGATTTATCCCATTTCACTTAAACGATAAATCTTTTCATAAATAACTTGGTACTTTCGGCCCCCAAATGCTCTGGTACGGCCGAGAGTGGGGAGAGTAAGCTCTCCCTCTACAAATGCTCCTACATGGCCACATGCATACAATCACTAATAGGGAAGTCCTACTCACTGCCTTCTCGTGGCGGAGGGTGTTGTTTACGAAGGTGAGAGGATGAAAGGCAAATGTCCGACGCTTTCACCGGGTAGGTGGACACGGAGGATCCACCTAGAGGAGTTGGAAAACCCTCATTCCAAAACAATGGTGCACATGGACTTGCTCTATGATCCTGAAGGAACAAATAGCGTATGAACCAATCGCTGGTCACCGGCAACTATGGGACTGCATCTCCTGACGTTGCTCCACTGCCTTGTAGATCAGACTTTTAGGTTGAAGGCTCCAGGTGTGGCCCCCCTAAGAGAACCATCCACTTCCGTTTAGGCACCCGAGCAATATTATAGCCCTCACATAAATAGAATGACTTATGTGGTACATATCTATTTTGTATCTCCTTGTACCAATGTTTATGTGTTTGAATAAATAAATTTAAATATACAAAATGGAACTGTTTATGAATTATTCAAAGTCAGTTGTATCTTATATTAATACATAGAAACATAATAACTAACTAACTAACCTGTTTCATTAGAAATCTCATCAACATACTGGTACATTGTTGTTTTATCAAATTCATTTGAATTTTCTATACCATTTAAATGTTTATCCGATTTTATTTTAGTAAAAAATGTTAAACTACTTAATACAGTTTCTTGACTAATAAATATATGTAAACGTGATTGACTTTTAATAGATGATTTAAAATAGGATACTTTTTTAATACAAGTTAATATACATGCATAACATGGAATTAAATTCTCTGTTGAAGTTATATCACCAATAAGACCACGTTCTAATAAATTTGAATCTAATTGTGATACACAAATACCAGCACGATCACCCTAAAAGATTAAAAAAGAAACCAGATGATGATGAAGAAAACATTAGATAAAAAGGTTCAAATCAACTTGTTTTATTTTATTTTAACACATAGATATTGGTACAAGGAGGCACCAAATACATATGCGCCACACAAATCTCATTCAATATGTGTGAGGACTGTGATACTGCACGGTTGCCTTAACCAAAGCGGTGGTTTTCTTAGATGGCCACTCCCCGAGCCTTCGGCCTGAAGGTCTGATCCACAAGACAGCGGAGCATCGTGAGGAGATGCAGTCTCATGCTAGCCAGTGACCAACGATTTGTTCATACGCCATTTGTTCCCGCAGGATACTGGAGCCAGCCCATGTGCACCATTGGTTTAGAATCCGGTTAAAGCGCCGGATATTCGCTTTTCGTCCTCTCATTTTCGTAAACAACACCCCCGCCACGAGAAGGCAGTGAGTAGGAGATTGTACTTCTAAGGATCAGTCCTATAGTACGTATCACCAGGACGTCAAACAAACTTGACCCTGGCCAACTAACCGCGATGATGAACAGTGCGGCCTGGTCCTGAGCGTGAAGCGGGTGTGTGGCTGTCCGTCTGGCTGGCTTCTCACGAAGTCTGTTCGTGCGGACTCAGCCGCCTCCTTTTCCGATCATCCAGCCGAACTAAGGAGTGCATGCGAAATCAACTTGTCAATTTAGTGAGAACGATAATCTACGGATGACCTATGAGCGACGCCAAATTGACCTTGAGAATGAACACCTACTGACTAAGAGTAAATAAGGATCATAAATCATGGGAGTGTCCACCTAATAACTAGGACCAAATAAGGCTCATAAACTTGTGTGAGGAATTAGAACTATGATTTACAATTGATGGTTAAGGTTAAAAATTAGATTAAGAGTTTTCATCATGAACTGGTATCAGCTATAATATCATAACTTTATTTAACCAAATGGATGAGTGAATTCCGTGCCAAAATCCGGGACCTGTTAACTTATACCTAATTGGTACGTTCATAAATTATAGTCTCGCCGTTACTTTAAATGGAAAACTAATACTTAAAAGCAAGAAATAATAATTGATATATAGATAGTGACTAGCTTTGTGAGGGAATTCTCAGAGTTCTATTGAGAAGCCATGACCAGTGAAGCTAATCCATGTCAGGTAGAGACAGGTATTTACTTCAGTATAATGGAAGATGGTTGCGCGAATTCGTGGATTGGTTGAGGTTAGACAATAACACTGTTGAATACAGGCACAGTGGTCTACATATTAAGCGTCCACACGCGGGACCGAAGGCCCTGGGTTCGAATCCCACGAGTGAGATCGTGGATGAGCACTGCTGAAGAGTCCCACAACAAGACGAAACGGCCATCCAGTGCTTCCAGGTTATTATTGGTGGTCTAACATCAATCGGTTCATGATCTCAATCAAAAACTTAATAAACTTCAAAACCCAATTCTGATATAGATATATACCAGAAGTACTGAAACTATGCTTAATGCAAATGCAGGTCAAATCTCAACTCACCAATATCATTTTATAGAAACATCTTCAATGACTCATGATTGTTTGAAGCTCAAGTGAAAAACAAAACAAAAACACATCTAATTGTCTTTTAACAGTTACTAACTTATTATTTATATATTTTTTACATATATCTGAGAATGGAATCTAAGATGTGTGAGTTACTGTCTATTTGGAATTCATCGACTGGACGAACCAGTTATAGTGTATACAATCCGTTCAGGATGCATATATAGTTATAGAAATTGGTCGTTTGTTAACCTGGATATCAACATGGCAAATTCTTAATGATATATTAATGATAAGTCGTGTGGATTGAACGCTATATTAGTTTCCTAAGCTATTCCGGTTACCCGCAGTCTAGAACTACACAGAGACTTGAACACCAGAGAAGACACAAGTATGAGAGAAAATACTTTATCCCAAGGTTCATTCTTGTACAGAAAACCAAGGGTATTTATAGATGTTGGCGTCTGTTAAATCAACATCATATTTCAGCCAATCCGTTAACGTCATATTATGCTACCGACCAATAGTAGCACGCCACGCTGGAATTCTCGAACGTTCCATCATACTCTGATTGGCTAGGGCCCTTCGGCCCCTTTTGGGCCTCTGGAGGCCCTGTTGAAGTTCTACGGAAGCCGACTCAACAATTAACTTACGTTATGGAACTATTTTTTTTTAAAAAAAAGAGACGAACTGTATAACACTTCTTGGAATAACTAATAAGTAAAATCTAATAAGCTTGATTATGTTTGAGAAGATATGGAGAGAAAAAAACATTCACTAACATCTTCATGTATTACACATTGGATAAGAGAAAAACAATAAATGATCAGACAATGGAAATTTAGAGTTCCGCGTACTAAACTGTTGACAGTGAATATTATATGTTGATAGATATCGCGAAGTGGGGTGATGTTTACGAAATTGAGGGGACGAAAAGTTAATATCCAGTGCTTTAACTGGACTATCGTAACTAATTGTTGGCGACTCTGGGTGATATAGCTCAGAATCGATCACAATGGCGTAGGTGTATACACTCTTCGTCTTCCTTTAACCCATGAGATTAAAGTTGCTTCATACCGTTCTTTCTACGAACCAATTCTTTCTTTCTGTACTATATCCTTATATACGATCCTTCTTTTATATATTACTATCATTGAGTTAACTATTTCTATGAAATATGGTGTTCATCTTGTTGTGCTAATCAGGTGTGGCAACTTGAACCGATGCATATATGTGCCTGGTCCTACGTTGGAGATGACTTTGACTATAACATTTTACTAGATTTAGTAATCTGTTTAAATGAGTTTCAAAAATTTCATGCAAATTTTAACTTGCACATTTCTCATATTAAACAAAAAAGGAATCTAGTTAGTTGTAAATGTTTAGTAATAATAATATTTAACTAAATAACATACTGGTCCGATTGATTGAACTGGTTGACGAAATACTTGAATAGATTTAATCTTCTTTTGAATTCGTTGATAAGGTAAACCAATGGTCTATTAAGATAATGAATAGAAGACAAATTTAGAATCTTAAGTTTAAAAAAACAAAAGTAATACATTAGCATTGAAACGAAAATCATAAGTCAAGACCAATCTTTTAGTGTAATAAGACCATTAAATCACTCGTGTAAAAGTCACTGACAAGTGGTCTGAGTCATGTTGTTAGGTGTAGACTACCTGGTTAGGATCCACGAGATGATAATAACAACCAATGGTTAGATACCTTGAATGACATGGCTCAAAATCGTTTGCAATGGAACAAGTGCATCCATTAATTTGTGTTCTCCCAAATCCAGATCTTAATTCTTCATATCCCTTATTTTTCTCTTTCCAAATTTTCATTGGATTATACTCCTTGAATAACATCTTCAAACCCTAATGTTTCCGATCACTGCTCATACTTTTACTACCTCTACCACTATGGGATTTGAATCGACAATTGTATCTCTGTGATAATGTGGTATGGCAACTCGAAGTGATGTACGTACGTACGAAGTTCTACGTTGTTGCTGACTGTCAGAATTGATTATGTAGGGCAAATTATTTACGACATAGATGATACCACCAGTTGGAGAACTACTATAAACTGAAACGTTTATTACATAGTTTCGTTTCATTTTTTCCAGGGTCCCTCAACAGTACAGATTTTAATTTGAACTAATGTTGATTAGAAACGAATTTTTATTACTCAAAACAATGAAGAGTAGAATATAATTGTGAATATCTAGAACCATGGGTCTGGAAACTATTTTGTTTTTCAATGTGTTGCTTAGTTCCACATACAGTACTAGATTGCTTGCGTAGTCAACACAGAGAAAATATGCCATTTCGTGAGATAGGAAAATATACCCTGTAAATACAATTGTTTCCATCATCACTGTACAAGATGTTAAAAATTTTTTGAAGTGCTACTATCATACAATTTATAACGTCCTGAATTGTCGCTTTAGACTCGTATTAATAAAAACAGTACGCTCTTGAACATTATCATATTAAGTAGGATTGACGACACTTTTTTGAAATTCAACAAAATATTGAACAGTATTCTCACCGTCGAAATCCTCTATCACTCATGGACGGGTGGCTTGTTGTTTGAAAATCGATTAACTGTACCCACAAACTTACGCCGTAAGGTGATGTCAAAACTATACTGCACACCCAGGGGTAGCACGTATGAAGGTACTTGCACGTGGCTATGTATATTGGCCGAATATTGATGCTCAAATCGAAGAATATGTTCAAAGATGTTCCGCGTGTGCAAAATCCATCAAAGCCCCTTGGAAGATAGAAATGCAGAGTTGGGAGACACCAACAAATCAGTGGTCAAGAGTGCATGTGGATTTCGCCGGTCCCATAAGCGAGAAACAGTACTTGATGATCGTTGATGCCTTCTCAAATTGGCCAGAGATCCACTACATGAAGTCTCTTTCGACAAAAGCTACTATCGAAAAACTGAAACAAGTATTCAGCTGCTTTGGGTGTCCAGAGAGATAGGTGTCTGATAATGGACCACAGTTTATATCCGCTGAATTTTCGAAGTTCTGCGTCGCCAACGCCGTTAGGCATATGAAGACATCCCCATACGATCCGCAGTCTAACGGTTTAGTTGAAGTTCGTCAATACGTTTAAAAGAGCACTGCTTAAAGCCGATGGAAAATGGGAAATAGAAGAGATGATTCAAAGATTTTTACAAACCTACCAAGCAACACCCAAAAAAGCAAGAAATAATCAAGAAAGTCCAGCAGAAGCAATTCTATACGTCAGTCATCTGATGTAATGCTCCCTTCATCCACAGTTTAAAGAATAGCTGTGTTCCTAGTTTCACTGAAACTGATGTCCGAAGATGTCTCCAGTCACTTAATTCATCCCGATGTTTAGGACCTGATGGTATCCCAAACCTCCTTTTTTTAAAAAAAATGTGCTGACGTGCTATGTTATCCGTTCACAGCTATCTTTAACAGATCCTTCTCAGCTAATCTCATACCGAAAATGTGGAGAAAGATAAAGATAATCCCTATATCTAAGAAAGTATCTGGTGATAAGAATGTGGAATTCAGACCCATAGCAATAACTTCATCTCTCCACAATACAATGGAAAAGTTATTGATACTCCCACTTCAACCTGCAATAAAAGAGCCCATTGATCCGTGTCAATTTACTTACAGATGCGAAAGAAGCACCTTAGATGCCGTTGCTGTTCTGCATCACAATATAGTGTTCTGTTTGGAAAAGGGTAAGAAGTATGTTCGATGCGCTTTTCTGGACTATATTCTGCTTTTGATTCTATCCCAAGACATTTCTGAGAATCATTCATTACTTCTTTTATGCAACCATTTCCAAATCACACAACCGACATACATAAGAAAGAATGAGACGACCAAGGGAATTACAATATACAAATACCGAAGTGATTTATTCCGTTTATTCTCTTTGGTTATTTCGGTAGTCATATTCTGAAGAAAAGCAAACAGTAGCATTAATTACTAGATATCAAATATTTACTGAATATCGATCGGTTCCTTCTGAAGTTTCCTTCCGCTTTTCTCTAACCTGAACTTCAGTGATCATAAAAGATTTTTCCATCGTGTTTGGTGGGTGTTGGCGTACTCGAATGGTTAACGTCCGAACTCTTCTGAATACACAAAACAGTAACTTTTATTACTAAACATCAACCATTATTCAGTCGATTCACTAATCACCATGTACTATTGTCAGTAACGATGACAAAAGAGAAGTCCACAAATAGTTACACAATTTGCACCTGTATAATCGTTCAGAACATCTACAACCGATTTGACAATTAGTGTGATAAGTACGCACTATCCAACAACTTGATCCGTCTAAATGTAAAGCTGTTAACTTTAGCATGAGACATGAACGGCATCTAAACACCATGTTGGGATCCCATAATGTTTGTGACATTGGAGACTCTTTGATAAACACACTGTAGAAGGTCAATTATCTTGTTGTTACTTTTTCCTTTGATCTCTCTTGGTCTTCTCATGTTTTACTATTATCGAAGAAAGTTTTCCGTCTGGCTTACTACATAAAGAGGCTATGTGCTTTTGGGATTACTCGACATTCAGTCTTACAATTTGTCAATTAATGCTATACTTTACTGTTCTTCATTATTCTTTCCCGGGCGTTTGAGAAAAAGACTTTGCTGTATTACGGAGAGTGCTGAAGGCAGGTAGCAAGGTGTGTGATGAATCTTTTGAGGTCATTATTAATATAGTTGAGGACAGACATCTTGTTGTGACTTTATGAGCCGCTAGCTATCACGTAATCTATTCGCCAATCAAAATACGACTTATTCGCTCTTATGCTGTACTAAACTAGTGACGTCCGACCGGTATGAGCAGCCTAGCGTCCTATTGGTCCTATGTTCGCCTAGCCCGTCCAGCTGAGTCCAGAATGCCAATAACAGCCTCCACTATGCAAATCGAATCGAATCATTTACTCCAGATATACTGGGTTTATATACCAAACAAACAGACCGCAACGCACCATAAAATAGAAAATAACATCCATACACAATAAAGCCAAAAAGTGGCTGCGAACGTGAGAGACGGTAATTAATAAACTGAGCATAACCTAGGAACAGTAAATCGTACAATAATAATCTATAGGTCAAAATGAAGCTTATAATAAGGGGAATATAGATATACATAATCTAGTTACTGAATATTTATACCATAAGAATATATAAATAAGATTAGCCCATTAATAGGTCTCAGACGTTATTCGTAATTCGATCTTCACTAGGATATAACACATCTTAGGTCTTGAAACTGCTGGCAGGTGTTATCTTATTAGATACTAACCATCCCTTTTATTCACATATTTCTCCTTGTATATCTTCTGGTAAACCGAGATGTATATTCATTAACATCCGCGCACACAATTAAATGTATAAAAGTTCTATAATACTTCATCTAGTAAATATACTCTGTGACGAACAGGTTGTTAGAATTGACTTAGTCAATAACCTGTATTCTTAGACATGTTTCTAATCTTAAAACGTTGTTTAGATTGGGATCTTTTTGGCTCTTTTCTTTTTTCCACTTTTTTGTCCTTTTGCAAAGGAAACTTGTTGAAATACCTCGTGCTGAGGATTCTACATTGTTCGAAAATATAATATTGAATAAAGCGATTAGCAATAATAATAGATTGTGCGACTAAGGAACATAAAAATGTGTTAAAAACGAAATAAAAAAGATAACTTTTCGAAATATCTAGATGGGATGAACAGGTTGCCCAGATATTCGAGCAGCCCGGCGCTAAAAAGCTTCAAAACACCGTCTGTCCCTCAGATCACTAGCTTTCACAGCTGCAGTGATTTATAAAAGGATATGTCTTTACATCAAAGTTTCAAGTTGTGATTCCAATAGGAGTGGTCGTATTACCATATTCTTTGGCAGTATTTTCTATTGCCCAAAAAACACTTTGCAGTTGGACGCAGTGAAAATTCTTTTCAGCTGAAACCATCAGAGACGTGTAGCCAATTTTGTAAGTTGCAAAACGATTTTATTCAACTTGTAAGCTAGCGGGATGATTGAGTAGACTTTAACCTTGTGAATTTGTAGCCTTAGTAACGATGATATTGTACAGAAGTTGGTGTTAAATGATGTTTTCGTTAACCGAATCTATTATTATAAGTCCTTGCAACGAAAATATCAAGAAACATCGGACGCGCAAACGAATTCACAGTTAAATAATAATGGCAGTCATCAAAAGCACAACTATTGGAACTGTTAGTGTTGCCGGTAAGCTTTACTACAAGTAAGCAACAACTTATTATGCTAATCGATAGATTAACTCATCAAAATTTAGTAGTCGTATTTGATAACCTCATTTTCAGGACGAAAAGCCAATGTCCGACGCTCCAACCGGGTTGGTGGACAACGACAGTCTATCTAGGGGAGTTGGAAAACCCTGATTCTAAATCAATGGTGCACATGACTGGCTCCAAGAACCTGAGGGATAAAATAGCGTATGAACCAATTATCGGTCACCTGATACTATGGGACTGTGTCTCATGACATTGCTCCACTACCTTGTGGATCAAACCCTTAGGTTGAAGGCTCCGGGTGTGGCCCCATAAGTAAACCACCTGCTTCGGTTTGGGCACCCGAGCAGTATCAGAGCCCACACACAAATCAAGTGACTTGCGTGGCGCATGTGTATTCAGTACCTCTTTGCACCAATATTCATGTGTTCAAATAAATAAAATAACATGCAGAGAGTTATCCCTTCGCGGCTGCCCATAAGGAGGAAGAATATTTCTTCTTGAGGGACCTGGAAAGGAAACTGGATTAGTATTGGTCTTAGCGACCGGGTGGCGTGATCAAAAAGTTCAAGAAAAATAAGTAGAACTGAAAAAAATTAACGTGAGATGTTTTAAAGGAACGGATATTGTAAAAGATGGGACTAGTTTTCTCGAACTATTATTAATTATAACTTTGTTCTGTAACTACTGAGAAATCGATTACTATGCACACATATTCCCTTTATCATAAGATTTCTATTAACCTATTAACCACTGTTGTATGGCTAACTATTCCTAATTTGTTCCCAGTCTATTATGCAGTCTCGAAACCACTTCTGGCTCGACCGTGTATGGTTGTTAGTTCCCATTTCATGGTGTGAAGTGGTTTGATATGCTTGTACAGACTACGTCTACTTGAAATATAATGTAGTAGATGCTGGTTGATAACTTTTAGATCTTAAGGTAGGGAAGACAGAAGCTAGACAATCGTGAACCAATGGGAACTAGATGTTGAATCAAGGTTGGTAGTGTTGATCAGACGTGCACCGGTAAAATCCGAGAAATTAAACTGTAGAGCAAAAAGTAAACGCACAAAAAAGCAAATTAAAATCAGGATTCTGACTGGTGATTTGTTATACGATGTTGTTTAGCGGTTATAAGACGTAATAAAGGACATCAAAAGTTTGGGTTTGAAACTCAGTAGAAGAAATGACTAACTAGATTAAAATGAAATAAAATCAGCTTAAAATATTAGTAATGAAATAAAATATCAAATATGTATAAGTTACTTGACCAACACTTGTAGTCCCAGATAGCACAGTTCCAGTAAGAATGGTACCTTGTCCGGTAATTGTGAAACAATGATCCACAGCAAATACAAAACCTATATCTTTCAACTTATTACGCTTCTCAGTTGGATCATGTATTGATCGTGCCAATAAAGAGATTAGATTTTTAATTTCTTGTGAATTGTTTGTACGTTGTTCAGATGTAAATTCTACCTGTTACATAAATCATAAATTGTACCGCCTAATGAATTAAACAAAATATTTTTGATAGTAACAAATAAACGGTAAATACGAAGGTAAATATACTATAAACAAGGGTAATATAGTAATACAGACGAAACAAAGAATGAACCATGCCTACAGCTTGGAGGAAATTGATTCTAGTAGTAATTTAATGAAACAATAGTTAGGAAAATTATTAGAACCATGATTCTTTAAATATATGAAGTTTTTTATAAAATATGTCTTTAGATTCCATACTTAATTTTCTTTCCAGGTGAAATCACCTAAACACCATAAACTGGGGAGACAATAGCTTAGTACGGAATTTAGTTTTATCAATTTTTAATGATGGCTAACAACTTCATATATCCTTAGTCATTCGAAATGCGAATACGGCTTGAAGTTTTCCGACTGAAAAACCTATAAATAATTTACTAATGATATACTCTTGTTTGAGATGAAAGTGCTAAACAAAGATTGAAGCTAAAACTTCCTGACCACCAGTTAGGCAAGATATTTTTTATATCCCGAAATAAAAATACGATTACGTGTAGCATATATCGGACAAGTGATTCCTATTCAGATGTTTGGTAGTCGATAAAGTTATAAGACAAATCTCTAACAAAGATCGAATAGAACAGAGATGCAGAAAGAAACACTGACGCAGTGTTTGGATTCTCAGAGCTCAGTACGTATAGAGTCTGTTCAGACCCATATATATATATATATATATATATATATATATATATATATATATAAATCTTGAGTAAACTGTCTACTATTATCTCCATGTTTTTGACTCACGAACTTAACTATCAAACTGCTATTTACAAGTCCACATTTGGAAACTCTGGCATCCAGATTATTTAATAAACCATAATATGAAGATAGTGCAACAACCGATAAAATAAATAATACAAACCAATAGAATCTCGTGCATTGAAATGATAAAACAAAGGACAAAATACTCTTTACTACCATAAGAACAAGAATATTAATAAAGCAGATATCTGTCCTCATTATCATCTAACAAACTTTTGATTATCGCCACTTATAAATTGGATAACTCGTTATCAAGTGAAGTTTGATGACAAAAAAGCATACATGTACCTGGTCCTACGTTGTAGCTGACTGACTGATAAAATAGTGCTAATTATAATCTTAGAATTGTTTAGATAAGAAATGACTTCAGAAGAGAGAAGGGTGCAGACATGTTACACATGTACAAATGAAATAATTGATATTATACCTGAACACCACCAGGAGCAGCTGAAATTTCTGCAATTTCCGACTGTTTAAAAATTGTATTCTCCAACGTTTTTAGGATACGCTTTTTCATCTTTGAGCAGTATAATCACAGCAAATTACAATACCTTCTGAATTAATTCGTCCCTTTGATTTTCATGTAACAAATCACACTTATTGAGGACTACCAACATTTTCTCACAAGCTATCTCACCAATCACCAAACACTCGGCGGTTTGGGTTTGAAAACCCTTAGTGACATCGATAACAAGAATGACGATATCGATTATTTGGGACCCTAGAATTTGGAATAATAATAGTGATAACACCATAGTCTACCGTTGAGAATAAGCTACCCGCTCAGAAAAACTAGCTTTAAAAAGAAAAATCTAGTGACGAAGCTTTAAATTTACCTTTAAAGGATGGGATACTCCGTATATATGAAATATACCCGGAAACAAGAAAAACGAATGAATTGGATTTACAGTAAAGCACTGCAAAAACCGGCTCATTTACGTTGCCGAAGTTTTATAACAAATAGTGTAAACAAGCAACCAATTAACATAGTTTCGTCGATGCTTCACTACTATTTAAACTATCTGATAGTATGGTTGCTTAAGATTTTTAGAGCCAACAGTCACCAAATATCCTGAATTTAGACAGCCGAAGATTCACAATACTTAAAAGTGCTGTTTGGCTTACAATGATTCACACTAAAAATTTTTGGCTTGTATTTATCATTTATTCATTTGCGTACAATCAATACGTAGTTTTCGCTACTTAGACTAAAGTTTTTGAGTTAAAATGCAGTAATTGAGACAATGACTGTTTACAAGGTCGATAAGAGAAAGTAGTCATAAGGGATGGCACCACCATGAACCCAAGCACAACATAAACACTTCAATTTCCTTTCCGATCTAGATTACATTATATAGCGAGTGTTCATACAAACACTGTGACAAGAGTCAAAAAGTGAAACCAAGAAAAACACGTTAATTTAATACTTACTGTTTTAAGTAGAGCCATGGTACTTAAAACATTTGGTACCACTATGTTTACCTGAACTTAAGCATCATAACAAAATATTTTGTACGTATGACGACATACAAGGATACACGATGGCCTAATTAGGACTCTATATATGTATAAAGCAATACATGGGCACAATTAAGCCCTACAGTTTAAATTACAACGAAAGTGGTTATCCTTAGATTTTTAAGGATTCTGAAGGAATAAAGATACCTGTCAATCCCATAGTCGGTAAATATCACAATTAATTTGCAGCAAAAAATGGCAGATAAATCGAGGGAATGTAGCTGCAAAGTATCCTAATTTTCGACTTTCAAGCTTTTCCAAAGTCACATAGAAATTTGTAGTTTTTCTCAAAGTCTGGAGAAATTTTGGGTCGACCCAAAAAGGAAAATCTTCCCTAAGTTTTAAGGATTTGCCCAGTTTCAAGCTACTTTGGGGGAAAAAACCATGCATAAACAAAATTTCTATGTTTTCCTTGCATTTCAACAAAACTCTCCTATTGCAGATTCCTAAAAATTTCCATAAACCTGGTACAAATTTTCCTCAAAATCTGAAGATCGGGATAAAGATGAAAACAAGGTAACTCACCACACAGAACCGTCTTTATGAGTGACCCATGCCGGGACAGTCAACAAGGGTAAACTGAACCTTTCCGAAGTTTTCGCGTATAGAAGGCATAAAAGGGTAGCCCGCCGAATCCACGATAAAGGAAGAAAATCCAAGATCAAGCGTGATACCTCGCTTTTTACTTTGAGGATTTTTGTCAAACGCGCTAGTACTAGCAATAGTGCTTAAGACTTTTGCTAGGCTCGTTTTTCCTGAGTCTACATGTCCCAGCACTCCCACGTTGACATTAAGCATCTCAAATGATATCAGTGACCTTGAAGAACCAAATTCAAATGGTTCAAATGGTTGGGGGGTAAAGTTCAGATGGTCCCAATGGGTCTGGATTGAATAGAAGTTTTTACTGAACAGGCTGCCATATCTGGTAGCATTGGATCATCGATGTAATCATGTCAGAACTTAAGTATATTTAGCAACGAAATAGAAAAAGGAATTGGTAAATTATAGTGGGATACTGTATTTGGTCAAGTCTCCTAAAGAACTCCTGGGAAGTCACTTAGACTAGCTCAGACGGTAGCGATTTCCAGAATTTGGCTACTCTTGAGGAGTAGCAGGTTTTCTTACAGTCCGTTCTGCTTTGCTCTTCCTCCAGTTTCTGGGTTTTATCCCTAAGTTTTGTGTTATGACTAAGCATAAGTAGGTGTTTATGGGGATGTCCAAAAGTATTTAGGATGCTGTAGGTCACTAGAAGGTCACCCCTAAGACTCCTGCACTCTAATGAGTAAAGTCCGTAATTGGTAAGTTCTTTGTTATCTGTGAAGTTGAGTCAGGTCCTTCTGAAGTGCCAGTATATCCTCTTGATTGCGTATCTCTCTCCGAAGTTCCACATCATCAGCAAAAAGTAATAAGTTAGAAGATACCTGTTGTGGAATATCATTTGTATAAGTCAAGAAAGGAAGAAATCCCAGTGCTGAACGCTAGGGACCGACTAAGACATCCCAGAGGCTGAAAGAAAGCGAAGTTAACCCTAACCTTAAAATGTCGATTTTTTAGATATGAAGTGAGTCAATGAATTAGAGGTGATTTAATGCTCATACCTTGAGCTTATTGATAAGACATATATTGCTAACCCTATCAAAAGCTTGTAGTGACTCACATTTATCACGAGAACACGACTGGTTTATTATAAACAATTATTATTATAACCAACTGTACCAGTGTTTGTTTTAATGTGCTTCTGTTTGACTGTGCTAATGACAGCTATTTTGTGCTTCCATTCTGATTCTTACCCTTTGATTGTGACTTCGCGCGAATCCGGTTACGTTCTGTAACCAAGCTTGTATTTTGGCACGATCTCGGTATCCTTTCGATACCACGAGATCGCCAGCGAATATATCTCGATTTGGTCTATTAACTGTCTTCCGATATTTGGCTTTTCGGGGATTTTATGGATTATTTTGGTTACGTTCAACCTTCGCCTTCTGATTTACTTGGAACGTGTTTCTTTGTAGCGGTGTTCATAGTTAATCCCAACTCGACACCACGCTACGAGCTTTTGCGAAGTCAAGGTAAATGACGTCAATTTTCCCCATGTGATCAAAGATGGTTGTCCATCTGTCCACCGAGGTCAGAAGGCGGATTATACAAGAATGGCTGTTCCTGAAACCGAGCTTTTGGGGTGAAGAGAAGTTTACAGATGGTAAGTGGTCGTGGACACCATCGCAAATCAGGAAATTCATAATTTTTGAGGGTATTGAGAGAGGTGTTACCAACCTGTATCTTGAGGATTCGCTGTGTCGACCTACTTTGAAAATTGACGTGGTGTGAGGTGGCTTCCAATTTTCTGATGATGGGCCTCGGCTTAGTGAATGTGAGAACATCGTGCTCGGCGCTGTTTTTAAGATTGAACCTCCTTCTCTCAGTGTAGCAGAATGAGCCATATTTTGGCTAGGATAAGTGTTTCTGTTTAGGTGTTGCAGTCCTCGGCACACCGAGTCAGCGCTCAGGTTCACTTCTGAGAATTCTATTGAGCTGCAGGTGAAGTTCTCATCAATATAGTTATTATGAGTCAGTTAAAATGTCTGGAAGTACTCTTCTGCATGAAGGTCGTCAGCATCACCGTTATTGCTTGTTGGGCAACTAGGACCTAATAATTATGAAACCCCGAACTTGACTTGCCGAAGATAAGCTGCATGATGGAACAAGCATTTCGGTTTGGTGTCAAATTTATTGACAAGCTTTATCTGATGTTGAATTCTATTTTTTCTTATTGCCTTTGTGCATTGTGTTCCTCACTTGTTTGAATCGCTAGTATGAACGTTGTTGTTGTACTGCACACAATAGTGACTTTCGCGTCTTAGGAAATGGGGAGTACGACACTTTATGTCTGTAGGGTAGTTGTAGATTTGGGGGACGTTTTTCAGGACAGATTGTTTAGTAATACATAACATCATGCGCAGTTCGCCCGCTGCAGAAAGTCCTGTTAAGCTGACACATCAAACTGTTTGAAATTCCATCGCCTGTTGTTGGTAGAATGTCTTAGCTCATTTTTGCCGATAAAACTGAAGGCTATGGTGGCGTGGTTGCTCCTCTCTCCACGGGAGTCACGGGCAAGAGGTTGACAATCAAAATTCTTCGTCTCTAAATACGCAGCCTAAGCACAATCGCGCGTGAGCTTCCCCATCCTGTTTATCTGAGCGAGCTCTAAGTGAATGGTCAGGCAAACCACCTACCCTGGGTTTTCCGAGCTGGTAGGCAATGTTCATTCTACGGTTTTTCCATGATTTGGGCAGCTCACAAGTGAAAAACATTAACCCCCAAGATGCTTTTATGTTTGATCTTGCGTAATATGGTCTGTCCGGATGCAAGGGATTCCATTTGATGACCAACGTCTGTCGTAACGAAATGATTCGAGACTGAGGGCCGCCATATGAAGAGGCGTGAAGCTTATCTTTATTAGCCACGGTCTAGAATCCCCGTCCTTCCTGATCGGTCTCACCACTTGTTCAGTCGATATGTTTCGAATTTCAAGGAATTCTTTATGAATCTCTATTCCCGAATATCAGATTGTGCGTAGTCGGGGCCCATGTTTTGCGATACGGCTTGGATAACTATATTTACTCCACATTTGGCAGGATTCTTTAGACATGTCTCTGATGAGACTGCGCCCAGGATATGATATGTCAGGCAGTATTATTACACCCTTATCTGATTTTGGCAGGTGAGCAACAAACAGAACATCCTCCACGTCGGCAGTGTTAGTGAGCGTTACACTTGGGAGTCTTGAGTGATTTTGGTTCTTAAGGTCCTTACTCCGAATGAGCCGTGCAACCGTAAGTGGTTCTTTTTTAGGTAGTTCGGGCTTCCTGTCCATTCATTTTTGTTTATTCGCTCTGAGGTCCTTTTGCATGGCAACTGAGATGCGTTTGGGATCACCGTACTCATTCTTGACTAGCTGGACATCTTAGGGGTAGATTGCATGGCCAAATAGCTACCTGATTTCAATAAAAGAACTCGGCTGTTCTGTTTCTTTTACGGTGAAATGCGGCTCATTCTAACTCTGTTGACCGGTGCTCAGTCGCCTACAGAGTTTTCGAGG